TTCATCTGAACTCCGATTCCGTCCATCTTTCTGTCGTTGCACTACTATCGATGAGATCTTCAATTCTCATTTAGATCACTAAGGATAGATATCTATCTACCTTAAATTCACTATTTACATCGCGCTGGGTTGCGCTGGGTCGTGCCGGTTCTATCGCGAAACTTTGACAGGTTATAACTTCTTCGTTATAACTCGGATTTCGACATTCTTTATATATTCAGAAACCTCGTTTCAACTACTACAACATTATCCATAAATATAGGCTTTATCTAACATTTCATTTTGACGCTTATTTTTATTCTTAATTAAATTAAGACACACAATTTAGCACATAAGACATAATACTAAAATAATACACTTCTATTATTTCAAAACGGGTTACAAAGGTTAACCTAGACTATTATACCAACATTAATGACAAGCCCAGAAACACAGACATTACAATTGGCTATATAAATCCTAGAATCTCGGATCCTATATTTCGACCCCACGGTCTCTGCCAGGTTCCACCTGCCTTGCTACTACGCACGGGCCTCACCCACGAGTCTCACTCAAACCATACTACTAAGTGGCCTTGCCCCCAGGTCTCACCTATCTGGGGCTATGTACGTACAACTCCCTTGAGTTCTATCTATCTATCCTTTCCTGATTCTAATCTCGCTAACTCGGTGATATGGGACTCGCCCAGACCCCACTGACTAGGAGATAGCGGCCTCGCCTACACTCCACTAACTAGGAGATATAGGCCTTGCCCACACTCTACTGAGTAGGAGATACGGGCGTCGCCTGTAACAATTGACAAATTGGGTCAACTATTGATGATCAGTAACCGTAAGCGTTGTTGTATGATTTGCTAATGTTCATTAAATAAGTTTAAATGATATTACAACTAATTGCTCAAAATTCATATATTATGAACTGAAAGAGTTATGATTTTTCATCCAAGTTCATTTTAAACGTTAATTTACAATAGGAAATAAGTGGCATGAAAACCATAAAATTGTACCTGGTTGAGTGTGAAACCTTAGAATTTTGAATTCGACATGGTTTCTACTATTCGTAATTCATGTCGAAAATGGTTTGGAAATCGAATTCGATGGTTGTGAATCTTAACGATAAAATAATTCAATATTTCAAAAATCATGTACGTTTATGTATGTATATGTATGAATAGCGTATTTTTCAAACTATATAATATGTAGTGGCTAAAGTTATTATAAAAAATCCATATTACATATAACAAATAGACAATTATGTTAAACACAATGTGTATGTGTTAACTAATTAAAAGTCTATAAAAACACTAAATATATATACGTATTTATACATATGTTATGTATCATTTTAAATACCAATTAATTGAATATATAACAACTCGAACATTTACTTTATACAAATCCCAAACTCTTTATATATCTTACCATCATACATGGTAAACCTTGATATAAGAGTGTATAAGTATTGTGGATATGCATTATTTCCTTCAAGAATAATTAAACAAATACATAACCAATACATCACACACACAAACACCCATATTCACAAATGGAAACCAATACTACAATGTACTTTCGAGATCAAATTATAGATTACAAAGTACCACAAAAGCCTTCTAAATATCTATTTTTGATCACACAAAATTCACTTAATCTTCCCTCACACTCTATCTTTCTTCCATCTTTTCTTTCTGTTTCGATGCACATCTAAGAACACCTCCATTGGAGGTGGTTCTCTTGTGGTTTCCCAGTGAGCTAATGAGCAACAGCCTCTCTCTTTCCCCTATTATTCCTGTTGATGTGAACAACAATCCAAACCCCCTATGAACTCAAATAAACCACCTAATCACTGCCCATGTTTCCCTCTTCCCCTGTTGAACATTGAAACCAAACACACACCACAACCAAAACATCAATTTGGTACCGTCATTGATTTCTATCAAGAACAAACAAAAGCAAAAGCAAAATCAATGAACTTTGTTACATATGGTTAACTGTTGCTTCCATTTTCTTCTTTCTCTTCTATTCGGTCCAACCGAGCATCGGAGATGCCTTTCCCTCCTCGTGGCTGCGTGACCACAGAACACGCCATCCACGCGATCCATGATTTTCGATGACGGAGGTTCGACCAAAAAAGGAGTGCCAGACCCCTCCCCTTTTCTTTCGTGTTTCCTGTCCGACAAATGAGGCAACCAAGAACCGCCAGAGCACACTTGATCTGCCTCTCACTGCTTTTGTTCGTCTATCCTCTCTGATTAGATAAAGATGAAGACTAAAGATCAAAGATCCTTTTTCCTTCATTTACGCCTTGTTCTCGAGTTTTTTTTGTAAATTTAATAAGGAAAAGGAAAGAAAATTTTGACAGAAAGAAAAGGAGGGGAAGGAAAATATTCATTTGTATAATGTTTCTAAACATGATGGATCTCAAGTAATTAAAGCTACACTGATTTCCTCCTTTCAGGGGCTTCATATTCATAAATTAACTTTTTTTTTTTTTTTTTTTTTTATTATGATCATTAATAGGTCGTATGTGCATTCAGATTGCAGTAAAAATATTAAATGTTTATGGCAAAGAAGCATAAATGAAATTTACTATTGAAGATGGGATAGTTGCACGTGTTAGCCACAAGAATCCGTCTATGAAGAAGGATGATTGCAGCATTATACTTTGTAAATTGTTCCCGATTTATAACACGTAATGAAATATATGTATGTTATTTAACTTGCCAATGTCAAACAACAACCACCAAAATAAAATAAAAAATGAGAGTTGATCCGTACACAACAATTTTTATACATACATAACAATTAGTGCTTTAAAATGTTGTATTGTATAACTATATAATGCATAAATTGTTGTATATGGCAAAAAAATATTGTGTACGAATTACTTACCATAAAAAATACGTACAAAACCTCTGACTCGTGCGCAACACGAGGAACTCCCACTAGTTTAAAGTAAAGTGGAGCCCATCTCAAGCCTCTAATAGGTCTTCCTTCAACAATAATAATTTTTCTTTGTGATTTATTTCTTTTTAAAACAAAATTTCAAATAACATTTATGATAATCAAGTTCATTTGATATTAGATGGTCAACATTTTTTTAGCTTCATAGTGATTTTTATGGATTTTATTTCATCATTTCAAGAGGACTAGCCCCTACATTGCAGGTCTCGATGGTTTTGTTGTTCATTTGGTTTTAGATTTGCATTTTTATAATCAATTTGTGTTTTTACTTTTGTATAATATTGTATCTTATAAGTTGGAGAAGGGCAAGGCGGTTGTATTGTCGGAGAAGATGAACGGTGTGGTGGAGGCTGGCCGGATGGGAAAACTGGAAAAAGAGTGAGACGTGGAGGGGTGTGTTGGGTGGACGGATGAGATGAGACAATGGGACCTGCATATTGATTTTGAATAATAATAATAATAATATAATTATTAAAAAAATATATAGAAAAAAAAAGTATTTTAAAGAGTGGTAGGTATGAAATACACAACAAAACCCAAACTTACTAACCTTCTTAGTTTAAAAAAAATAATAATAAAATAAGGATTAAATATACAAATTACCTCAAATCATAGGAAATCATTCCTCTAATATACCGAGGTGTTTAATAAAAAATTTTAAAATTTAAAAATATATTGGATTGAAATATTATAATTTTTACAGTTGAAAAGAAAATAATAAATAAACATCCCATCTTCTTCAACGTGATGCGAAAAAATGTAAATTTAGATGAAAATAACTTTTCAAAAACACATTATTCACAATTATAAAAAATAGTTTGTTGACTAAGAAATTTCAAAAGTCAATCCTATCAACCCTTGGAATAATAAAGCTGATGTCGACAGGATAGATATATATTGAAGGGCTGTGAAACGAAGTTAGGAGTTAGGGCCTGCGTTGTAGAACTAGAAGCTTGCTGAGTTGTTTACCGTCAGTTTAACGATTTCAAATACATTGTAAGTTCATAATCTTCATTTTCTTCTGCTTTTTACATGATCAAGTGAATATATGGTCCCACTTACTGTAATCCTTGTAATCTTTCCAGCTATAACTGATGACACAGAGATTAAAATTTTCGGATTTTTGTTGATATTAGATGTTTCATGAATTGGGTTTTTATGATTATCATTATTTTTGCTAAACAAAAGCCTAAAAAGAGAGTTGAGGTTCTTATTAGATTAGTTGATGATATTTAGAAGTCAGCCACTGTTTGTCCATCAGTACAAATTGCTTCCACTTGTTTCTGAAAGTTCATATCGAAAGATTTAAGACACACACACACACACATATATATATATATATATATATATATATATATATATATATATATATATATATATAAGGGATAATATACAATACAACCTCATCTAAGCTTAAGTACAAAACTTCTAAAATATGTTATTTTAACATGCTAAATATACACAGTTTGGTTTCACTTGGTAAATATATCATTCTCCATAACATTTCTTACTTTCATTATCGTTTTATCATCTCCGTTTTCTTTCCTCAATTATCGTTTATTACTTCATCCAAGTGAACATTACTAAACCGTAAACTTAAACCTAAACCCTAAATAAAAACCCTAAACACTAAAGCTAAACACTAAACCCTAAATCTAAACCCTAAACCCTAAACCTTAAACCTTAACCCTAAACTCTAAACTCTAAACGCTAAGCATAAACCTAAACCCTAAACCCTAAACTCTAAACCCTAAACCCTATTGTGTCCATCTTGAATTTACATCTTGAAGTATTAATCGTGAATCCATTAAGCGTAATCTTTATATAGTAAAACAATGTATTTTTAAAAGGTTTAGTACCTAAGCTTATGTGGGGGCTGTAATGTATATTCCCTTTTCCTATATATATATATATATATATATATATATATATATATATATATATATATATATATATATATATATATGTGTGTGTGTGTGTGTGTGTGTGTTATTTTTGAGTGCTTAAGCATTAATTTGTCGAAATCATGTTTAGATCATGTCCCAGATAAAGCAGTCAGAAACCATCAAATTCCTCTTCCAGGCCATAAGAAATTGTACTCAAGACTTCCACATAAGAAATTTGATTGGAGTGGGTGGATATGGGAAGGTTTATAAGGGAATGCTCTCATGGGGAAATCATGTAAACCAGCTAGTTGCTATAAAACGGCTACATGTAACCCAAGTGGGTCAAGGTACCAAAGAATTCAACAGCGAGGTGACCATGCTTTCAAAGTATCCACACAAAAACATCATAACCCTAATAGGGTTTTGTGACGATAACAAGGAGATGATATTGGTTTATGAATATGCAAGCCGTGGAAGCCTTGATTCATATTTAACTGGCACTACTAGACCCGATAGACCATCATGGACACAACTTTTAAAAATATGCATTGATGTTGCTTCTGCATTGGACTATCTTCATAATCACGTGTCACAAAACTACAGAATAATACATAGGGATATAAAAAGCGGTAATGTTTTGTTAGATGAGAGTTGGAATGCGAAACTTGCAGATTTTGGGTTCGCTAAGATAGGTCTAGCAAATCAAGATACCAGCTTTGTGATCACCAATGTCACCGACACAGCTGGTTATTGTGACCCACAATACCTTAAAACAGGTTTCTTAACAAAAGAGTCAGACGTCTATTCTTTCGGTGTTTTTCTGTTTGAAGTTTTATGTGGAAGGATGGAGTGTGAACAACGTTACAATGATGAGAGGAAATTCCTTCATCATTTGGCCCGGACCTGCTACAAAAATGGAGAGATAGACAAGATTATTGATAACAGAATACGGAAAGATATTAAACCTAGAACATTGCTCAAGTTTTCATCCATAGCCTACCAATGCTTGGAAAAATCTCGGGAAAAACGACCTCCGATTGCCGAGGTTGTAATCCAACTTAAGTTGGCTAACCAAATTCAAGTAAGTTTGAATCTAATTTTGTTAACTCCATCAACTTTTTTTTAGTTAAAAATATATTTACACATCATGTATTGATCATCAGTTAGAAGATGAGACACAGCAAGGGAATACTACCCTTCATTGCACCCATTGTCATTGTAACCACCAATCTCCGAGAGGTAGCCCTGAAAGAAGTATACGAAATTATGATGAGCTATCACGGTCAATCTCAAACATACATTTCGCAGTGGAGTACTCTCCGCCCTGCGACTCAACGCGTCGGCTACCACATTAGCCTTGCCCGGGTGGTACAAGATCTCGCAATCATAATCCTTGACCACATCTAACCACCTCCTTTGCCGCATATTAAGGTTAGGCTGATCCATCAAGTACTTCAAGCTCTTATGGTCCGTGTAAATCGTACAACGAACCCCATACAAGTAGTGCCGCCAAATCTTGAGGGCGAACACCACTGCCCCCAACTCCAAATCATGTGTGGGGTACCTCGTCTCGTGAGGCTTCAACTGCCTCGATGCATATGCTATCACATGTCCCTTCTGCATCAGCACCGCTCCCAGTCCTAAAATCGATGCATCACAGAATACCACAAAACCTTCCATCCCTTCCGGAAGAGCTAACACCGGAGCTTCACACAACCTCTGGCGAAGCGTCTCAAAGGAGGCCTGCTGCTCGGGACCCCATAAAAATGTAACACCCTTCCGGGTCAACCCAAGGAAACTCCGATAATACCCTGCCAATCTTGGATAAATCCTTAATAAACCTCCGATAATACCCTGCCAACCCAAGGAAACTCCGGATCTCAGAAGGTGACCTTGGCACCTCCCACCTCATCACTGCGTCAACCTTGGCCGGATCGACCAATATCCCCTTCTGGTTAACGAGATGTCCCAGAAACTGGACCTCCCGCAACCAGAAATCGCACTTGGAAAACTTTGCATAAAGTTTCTCCGATCTCAAAACTCCAAGAACCTCCCTCAAATGCTCCTCGTGCTGCTCTCTAGATCTCGAATATACCAGAATATCATCAATGAACACAATCACCGACCGATCCAACATCGGCCGACATACCCTGTTCATGAGGTCCATGAACACAGCCGGGGCATTGGTGAGCCCAAAAGGCATCACCACAAACTCATAATGCCCATAACGCGTCCTGAATGCTGTCTTCTGGACGTCCTCGTCCCGCACTCTCACCTGATGATAGCCCGACCTCAAATCAATCTTGGAGAACCAAGATGCTCCCTGTAACTGATCGAATAAATCGTCGATCCTCGGCAACGGGTAACGGTTCTTGACCGTCAGCTTATTCAATTCCCGGTAATCAATACACATGCGATGCGAGCCATCTTTCTTTTTCACAAACAGGATGGGTGCTCCCCACGGCGAGCTACTCGGCCGAATAAACCCCTTCCCCAGCAGCTCCTGAAGCTGCGAGGATAACTCTTGCATCTCTGGAGGCGCAAGGCGATACGGCACCTTAGCGATAGGCGCGGCTCCCGGAACCAAATCGATACCAAACTCCACTTGCCTCACGGGAGGCACACCTGGTAACTCTTCGGGAAAGACATCTGGAAACTCACGCACCACCGGAACTTCATCCACCGAACTCGGTCTCTCGGAGATCACTCGCGTATCCATCACATACGCCACAAAACCCTTACAGCCCTGCTGTAAACACTGCCTCGCCCTAGCAGCCGAACAAAAGGCTGATCCAGAACGTGTACCCTCGCCGTAAACCGAAAGAACTCCCCCACTAGGATCTCGTATAGTCACCAGCTGACGCTCGCAATCGATAACCGCGCCGAATCGGCTCAACCAGTCCATGCCCACTATAACACAAACATCACCCATCGCAATAGGAATCAGGTCGAACGGGAACTCAACCCCAAAAATCTCCAATACACATCCCCGGAGGACCTCCATGGCACAAATCACTCTATCGGCGGCTATGGAAACCCGTAGGGGCCGACTTAGTGCCCCACGACTAACACTGATATGCTGACTAAATGTCAAAGATACAAAAGATCGACTCGTACCCGAGTCAAATAACACTAAAGCAGGTACAGAATTCACAACGAAGGTACCTATGCATAGCATAATATAAGCATAATATCTCAACACCATAAATAAATAATGAAAAGGAAGCGTACCAGCCACAACGTCGGGTGCAACGCGGACCTCTTCCGCAGTCAGCTGAAAGGCTCTCCCCCGAGCCCTCGGTACCTCGGCCTTCACGGGCCGACTCTCTGTAGCAGTAGCTCTGATGGCGGCGGGAGCAGACCCCTGAGATGCTCCGCGCAGCAACGGACACTCTGCCTTCCGGTGTCCGGTCTAGTTGCAGTGGAAGCACACTGCAAATCCCTTGGGGCAGTCCTTGGCCATATGCCCCTCCTTGCCACATTTGTAGCAAGATCCTGCTCGACAGACTCCATCGTGACCCTTGCCGCACTTTCCACAAGTGCGGCCCTTCTGGCTCCCGGGTCTGGGATCAGCGGGCTTGGCCCGCTTGGCTGCCGGCTGGGACTGTGCCGGCCGCCGATCCCTCCCTAGAGACTCCGCCTCCTCCCTGGCCTGAGTCTCAAGCTCAATCTCCCTCTTCCGAGCATTTGCCTGAAGCTCGGCAAATGTCCGATACGAGGAGTTCGCAGCGAACTGCCGAATATCCCGTCTCAGAATGCTCAGGTAACGGCTCATACGTGCCTGCTCGGTGGACACGTGCTCAGGGCAGAACATCGCCCTCTCATGAAACATCCTCGTAATCGCTGTAACTGACTCGGTACCCTGCTTGAGGGTCAGAAACTCCTGTGTCAGACGCTCCCTCTCCACCTGAGGAACGTACTCATCTCGGAACATGGTAGTGAACCTCTCCCAGGTCACTGCCGAAAGCTCAGTCGGTGTGAAGTGTGCCGTCACAAACTTCCACCAGTCCTTCGCTCCCAAGCGAAGCTGGTTCAGCGCGAACCGAACCTTCAAATGCTCAGGGGACGAGCAAGTGAAGAAGCATCTTCCATATCAGATATCCACCTCATAGCTGCCACCGGATCCTGCGTACCATCAAACTCTGGTGGCTTGGTGTTGCTGAACTCCCTAAACAATATCGCATCACCTCCTTTGGGGTCTTGCCGCAGCAATCGCTGCGGTAGCCGCTGCAACCGCAGCCTCAGAAAGAGCGGCATAGCGCTCGTCAAATGTCTCAATTAGCGCGGTCTTAATAGACCCAAACATCTCTGGTATCTCAGCTCTGATGACCGCAGCCACCTCCTCATGAATGATCTGTCGAATCTCCTCATCACTAGCTCGGGCATCCTCTGGCATGTGACGTGTCCTCACCATGATCAACCTCTGAAATACAACATGTGATAATTAGACTTCACTCAAACACTTTTACATTCGACAATCCACCCCTCCTTGATCCTTGGCATCCCAAGATTCTTATTTAGACTGTGTACCGCACCGGTGCTTTCAGTAGTACGGGCCCAATACTACTGTCCGCACCGTCTCAGTACACACCCCAAATCTTCCTCTTCGGATCCCAAACCCCAAGTACTCTATTATACTTAAATCACTTTGAAATAGATCTCACACAAAGCCCTAGCTGCTACCTAATTACTCTCAGCATCTCATAGCAGCTCACCCCTCCCTAGGCTAAGGCATCACAAAACAGGCCACTCTAGTCCTATTAGCAATACCTAACCTACTCTAGCATGCAAACACATCACATTAATAATAATTATCACATAATATAAAGGTATTTTGGGAATTCACCGTTCGGGCGCTGGCTGATCGTACACACGTTTCTTCCTGGAAAATCTTTTACTCTTAGAAAATTTTGGTTTTATTTGGAAATATCTCTTCAATTCCTCAGTTTGAGTTCAAATACCCCCGAAGGTGTACCCGAATCCCTCAAACCAAGGCTCTGATACCAATTTGTAACACCGTAAATTTTCAAACAAATTTTTCAATTTTTATAAAACATAATTCCATCGATATTCATAAAAACAACTATTTTAATTATCCAACAAAACAGTACAAAATCCCAAGATCATAATATCAAGCTCCAAACGTGTGTGTATACGGATCAAGCCGGCGCCTTCCCGCGGTCATCACTAGTACCTGAAACAAATAACATCAACACTGTAAGCACAAGGCTTAGTGAGTTCCCCAAAATACCACATATAACACATATTAGCCACTCTAGGCTATAACTCTGTGGGTCGTGCACCCAAACTCTGTGAACCCTCAGGTTCTAGCTCTGATAAACATGCACCACATAAATCACATAGAAATCATGCAGTACAACACACAACATACATAGCATACAAATACTCTATCACATAACTCTGGTTACCTACTCAAGGTAAAGTATAGTGAGAAGACTCACCTCGCGTATCTCGGTATCTCACGAATCCTGGAAATCCCTCGTGCTCGATCCTCCGAGCTCTAATCCTCCTATAACATTATATGCTTCTAATTAACACTTTATATCTCTAAGGTTGACTATCAAAAAGGAGTCAACACTGGTCAACTCTGGTCAACGGTCAACGGTCAACTCTGACCGGACTCGGCGAGTACCAAGGCGACTCGGCGAGTCTGGGCGTATACACCAATTTCCCTGGAATCCTCCCTTGACACGTCGAGCATTCACTCAACTCGACGAGTTCCACCTGGCATGAGTTGTGGGGCCACCACGACTCAACTCGCCGAGTCTCAAAACAACTCGGCGAGTCCAGTTTGACTCAATCCACCGATCCATTCTGACTCCCCCTTGACTCACTGAGTCACCCTCCCCAACTCGGCGAGGCCACTCACTGTGTGGTCGGGCAACATTCATGCTACTCGCCGAGTCTGTTCTTCGGACTCGGCGAGTCCGTGCCATGCACTGACTCAATCTTGCTCTAAAGGTCAGATCCAGTCCATTAATCCATAGATCCAGTCCCTCCAAGCTCATTTAGCACGTAAAGTTACAATCTTGATGCACATACAACCTCTATATGACCATATATGATGTTTTTGACTCATTTACTACAACACAAGGTCATGGACTC